TGTCTCTCTGCTTCTTTCCATCTTCCCTGCCAGCACACTCATCATCTCTTGCCTGGATTTCTCAAATGGCCTGCTGACCAGTTTTCACTCCCGCAGTCTACTTCTTGTCCAAGCCGCTAAGTAGAGCATTCTTGATGACTCTTCTGCCCTTGTAGCATGCAAGCAGCCACAGACAACACATGGGCATGGCCGAGTTCCAATAAAACCTTATTTACAAAACAGACATGGGGCCAGATTCGGCCTGCGGGCCGTAGTTTACCAGTTCCCCTTTGACTCCCCTGTTTACTATCACAGACTTCCCACGGCTCTTAGCATCAAGCCTAGACTGCTGGCCCGGCCTAAACCCCCGGGTGACGGGGTCCTGCCTCTGTCCCAGCTCCTTTCTCGAGACCCCTCGTTACACGCTCTGCCGCAGCCATGCCAGGATTTCACTTCCTGCAACGTGTTTTACTTTCCTCTTTTCTCCTCCTTGCCTCTGCGTGTGCCTCTTCCCCCCCCACCCCCCTCCAAATAGCTAACTCCCACTCAGCCTTCAAACCCCGGTGGAGACGTCACTTCCTCTGAGAACCTTCTCTGGGCCCGTTTGCTGTCCTGCCACGTGGATTGGGTTGCTTTCCTCCCGGTCCTGGGAGATGCTGCGTTATCTCCGCACCTGCCGTGCTAAGTTCTCTTTGCTTGTCCAGCCAGAGTACAGGCCTCACGAGGGCAGGGGTCCTGCTGTCTCTTACTGTGACAGCCACAAGCGAATAATAAATGATGACGGCAGCCTGGAGAAAAGGGAACTCGAGGATGTGGTGGTTCTCAGGTATTCAGAGGACAGGAAAAGGGTACAGTTCTCCGTAGCCCAAGGGCGAGAATAAGAACAGAGGGGCTCAGGGAGACAGATTTCTGGTGCACGTGAGAAAGCTGTACCCAATCGTCGACCAGATATGGAGGGAGTTTTCAGGAGGTGGTGAATCCCCTTCACTGAGGTTTCAGGCATCACTTGGATGAGCTGACTTTGAAGTTAAGTGTGGCTAATTCGTGTGAGGTCAGAATGTCGCCGTACACAGCGCACGTTTAGACTGGAGGCGGCCGGCCTCCAGAGGCCCCCAGAGTGAATGGGTTTTCCTTCTCCCCCTCAGCCCAGGGTTTGCTGATATTCGCGGAGTTGATATCTGCAGTTAAGAGGACGCTGGCTCGCCTCCTCGTGATCATCGTGAGCTTGGGTTACGGCATCGTGAAGTGAGTACCGGGGCCTGGAGAACAGTCTCCAGTCTTGTGATCCCGTCCGCCTGCGTCTGTGGAACTGGGCACCTCTCAGGGTCACAGCAGACCCCCCAGGGAAGCGTCTGCGAGGACGTGTTTCTGATTCTAAAGGATCTCCGTGCACTGGCTGTTTCATACTTTCCTCAAATAAAGATCCTGAGCTTGAATTCCAGTAACTTTTTATAGTTAGATGAATAACCAACTTAAAGGATAATGGAAAATTTTAAATGATTCTTGAAGTTCAGACCACTTTCCATTTCCTAGACAGCATAGCTATGTGATGTGATTGTGTCTGAGATACCGTGAGCGCTCTGATCAAACACCAGGGCAGCGGAATTTCCTGACTGCAACCTGGCTGCCCCCCCGAGCACCCGCTTCTCCGGGACCCTCTCCAGCAGCTCTTTTCTCTCTTACCCGTGAGTCACTGGGCGTGAACATGGACGAGCCTATCCTCTGCACCCTCATTGCCTTTTTCAGACCATTGTTTTTCTTTTTCCCTAAGACCCTCTGGTTCCCAGAAGCTCGAGCCTTCAGACAGGATCGCAGCTACATCTTCTCAACGTCCTGTTTCCCCTCCTCCCTGGCGTCTCCCAGCCCTTGCATCCCTGTCTTTCCCCTCCTCAGCACTCATCCGGCAGGATTCCCTGTGATTTCAGTGTCCATGTGAGGATCCTTTAAGTAACCAGATCTCACTGCCTCCCCTCTGCTGCCCTTACCTGTCACCCCTCAGCTCCGGAGTCCCAGGGCCATTCTCTAGACTTGATTATTATTTATTCATTATTGTGTCTAACAGCACCTTCATGTGGCAGATTTCAGCAGTCCACTTTGCAACTGTCCCCTCCTCTGCTCCCTGTTTACTTTCTCTAACGCATCAGCTGCAGTCACTCTTCGTCCCTGCTGTGACCTCTGGCCTGTTGATCCCACCGCCTTCCTCGGTCCAGCAGGGGACTGAACACCCCTGCCACTCCTGAGGCCTTTGTCAGCGTCCCTTGGGCCGCCTTCCATCTGTGCAGGCTCAGCCTGGGGCAGCAGCATCAGCCTGAGAGGAACACCTGGCCCCGCTGCCCAGCTCATGCATTTCACAACCCTGAACTTCACGTGCACCCTTAGTGCTGCTGGCAGACCCAGCCAGCTCCGGTTTGGCTTCTCACTCTCCCTCTCTGCACCATTTACCCCTTCTCTCTCCTCACAACTCCCTGCCCTCATCCATCTCAGCTGATCTTGGCTCTTTGCTCTCTGAGGAAGTAGAAGCCATCAGAAGGGAGTTCTGACACGTTCCTGCCATCCGATCTGGGTCATTCTCCCCATCTCTGGACCACACGTTTACTCCCTCCTATGAGGCATGGACCATCCCTGCGTGGTTAGGTCCTGCCCTGGCCTTGTGCTCTGGATCCCGGCACCTCCTCTGTCAGAGAGTTGTCCCAGCAGTCCACCCTGCTCTCCTCTGTCACAGCCCCCCTCGGTGGGGTCATCCCCATCAGCACACTGTTATTTCTGTCTTCTTCAGGAACAGAACCCTCCCTTGAACCCAGATGGCCCTCTACTTGCTCTTCTGATTCATTGCACCAGCTTACTGGAACCTCCCGACAGCCAGAACTGTTACTGCGCTCGCTTTACGAGGGTCAAACACAAGCTGATGGTGTGGGGTCATTTAAAAAAGGCTGTGCCCTACACACCAGCCCTGTCTTCCATTCCTTTTACAGCCACCACCCTCCACACCTTGGCACCTCACGTGGCTGCAGCAGCCTTTTCCATTGGGTCATCTGTACTTGGCCACTTCCACGTCCCTCATCTTCTGTCCTGGTGAAGTTTGGCCCCATCCCTCCACTGAGACTGCTCCGCTGCAGTGAGTGGCACAGAGGGCACTCAGGACCTCAGCACGGAGCACGCGCGTGTGTGCGTGTGAGCTGCAGCCTGCTGAGTTAGCGAGCTGTCTGCCAGGAAACCTTCTCTTCCTTGGACTTGTATTAAGATTCTCTCTCATGTGCTTTTTAAAATTTTAATTATTACTTTCATTTTTTGGCCTCAGTACAGTGTACAGAACACAAAACCCTCTTGTGGAATGTTGTGACACCTCCCAGTTCTAGTTGTGAACATCGGGTGCCAAGGTGTGGAGGGTGGTGGCTGTAAAAGGAATGGAAGACAGGGCTGGTGTGTAGGGCACAGCCTTTTTTAAATGACCCCACACCATCAGCTTGTGTTTGACCCTCGTAAAGCGAGCGCAGTAACAGTTCTGGCTGTCGGGAGGTTCCAGTAAGCTGGTGCAATGAATCAGAATTTAGGTGAACTAAATTAGATAAATAGTCTTAAATATGAGCTGTGAGTAATAGTTCAGTTTTTATCTAGATTTGTTTTAAAATGACTACCATAATTATTTTTTTCAAAACCAGCCTCCACTTCTAATTACTCTGAGAAGGGGTTTCGAACTAAAACGTGTTTGCAGGTAAATTCTGATTTGCAAATATGAAATTTCAGTTCTGTCTTCAAATTACTAATTGAAAAAAATTATCATCTTTGCCTATTCCCAATTCATTTGTTTATACTTTTAAAGAATCAAAAATGTTTTAATTCTTTTCAGTTTGATGAATGGAAGCTGGAGCCTGTTAGGACTTCCGTCTGGGGGTGTCAGGGGGAGGAAGGTGGTGGGACACGAGCCCCTGACATCCTTCTCTTTCTCTGCCCGAGTCAGAGAATCAGTGGGTCCCCTCTGACAAACCACATCAGTATGGTTCGTAATTAATGTTGGCGACAGAGTTAAGTGACTGTTTCTACCAGCAACACTTAGAAGCTGGCACTCACCTTCCTGGGTTTCATCAATCTTCGTGTCCATTCTATAGAAAAAAACAGTACCTGGGCTATGTTCAGTGCATGGCTTGGATTTCAGCAGCAAAATCCTCTGGCCTTAAAAATGTTGCTTTCTGGGCATCAGTACAGCTTCATGTCCTAGAGAAGGAGGCCTGCTTTTCCTCAGCCTGTTTCTGCCGTGTTGCCAGATACGCTATTTCCTAAAACAGCGGGCCTCAGAGGCAGGAGAGGGGGGCTTGAGTGGGTAGTGTCTTCTCTGGTGTTGGAAATGGGGCCGGTTACTGTATTCAGGTGCACTGTACTTACCTTGCTTTTTGTTTTTCTTTGTTCCGCGGCCTCCCCCTTGTTCCAGGCCCCGCTTGGGGACAGTCATGCACCGGGTCGTCGGACTGGGGCTGCTCTACTTTGTCTTCGCAGCCATTGAAGGCGTGATGAGAGTCATTGGGGTAAAATTTACATCATTTCACTAGCGCCTTTTTTGTTGTTGCTGTGCAATGTGATTTTCATTTATATCTACTGAGATGAATTTTTAAAAATAGGAAATTTGTGAAAAAGACTCAACTTGAGCTTTTTTCTCCCCCTGTGTAATATTTCTCTCTCCCCCCTTTTTTTTTGGCCTAAGCAGAGCACTTTTTAAAACAGTATGGTTGTGAAGGCATCACTTGGTGTCATCCCAGGAGCTAGCTCCATCTTAAAAATGTTCGTGGTGGTTCTTTATAAAGAACGTTTGTCTTCATCGTTAGGCACTCTGAACGCATTAGTCCCTTCCCTAACCCTTGGCTTAAACACGAGTGAATGAACAGTAAGTTAGTTCCACCTTTCACACATACAGACGTGACTCGTCATCGCTCTCCCACGTCTCATGTGGTTGTAAGTTTTCTCTGACTCTTGTGGGCTCAGTGTTTGGAGGAGTCAGCAGATCCCACTCTTGGAACAGCCAGGAGAAGGTGGTGTGCGAGGGGACAGCGGCTCTGGCGATGCCTGCAGCAATGATTCACTCTGGAGAAGAGTCCGAATATTTGCACCTGTAAAGACCCCTAGATTTCTAGCTCTCAGTTTTCCTTAATAATATGGTTGATGACTGAGTGATTATGAAGTGTATTAAATTTTTACAGAGAACCTTGTGATTTTACTCAAAATGTCTCCTGTATTAGATGTTTAAATCAGGTAACTGTGCAGAGAGTGAATGCTCCGTATGTTGCCACATACGTTGACTTCACATATTTTAATCTGACCCTCAAAGCAGGACATTTGTCCATTAATGGTAAAAGCTTCATTTTTCTTCCGGTGTCTTTGATCCACCTATATTCTGTGTTAGATATGCCTGCTCTTTTCATCTTTGACTCCTTGAAAGTTACATTTATTTTTACCTTTACATAATAATGAAGAACTTTGGTTTGCATTTATATATATAATTCACAGGAAACAAATCTTAGAAAGAAAATGGAATGGATAAATATGCCCCATATAGATTACATTGTATTTCTTTAAAAGTTTACATAGTCAGCATCTTAATGTAACTGTTTTAAATATGATTACCTGTCAGGATCCAATCTATGGTTTGTTCATACCCTTCCACTCAGTTCCTTTTCCTCATTTTACTTTCTTTCCTGTTCTTTCACATGCGTGGGGAAGCTAAGGAGTCAGTTTCTTTAGGGGCTGTGGCTGCAGGCTTGGTGTGGAGGGGGCAGAGATTGAAGCAGCTCACCCCAGGCGGGTGGGACGTGATCTGTTTGATTTGCCACCCCGTAATGCAATTTTACATTATTGTTGGGCAAATTAATGACAAATTAACATTCATTGCTGCCAAAACATATCATCTCCATGTGCTTAAATACAAGTCTATTAGGCAATCAGATCTTTGATGTGGCTTTTGTAAAATGAAATGAGATGAATCGTTTTCTTCATCGGTTGACAATTATGATAATACAATGAAACTTGGACATTCAGGTTTTTCCCCCTGTTTTTATCTTTCAGGGTTCTAGCCATTTAGCTGTTGTTTTGGGTGACATTGTTTTAGCAGTTATTGACTCCATTTTTGTATGGTTCATATCCTTTACTGTGTCCTAACATAGTTTGTCGTATCATTAAATCGGGTTATTTTTAATTTGTAATAATAATAGAAAGAAACCTAGTTATGTGTATGGTTACCTCAATATAGGAATTTGGTTGAAGGTGAAATTCCTCGAACAAAGAACATCCTTATTTTTTCTGTTAGTTCAGCACACGTGAGTGTACACACTGAGCAGTCTGGTAGGGGAGACAAGTTCGTAACTGAGAGCCACACAGCAGTAGTCATTGCCATTTAGGGAGGTGCTATGCAAACAGGGAAGAGAGGCATTCATTCTGGGGTAAAAATCAGGAAGGACTTCAGGGAGATGGTGACATTTAGACTGAGACTGGGTGGACAAATACAGGTTTACTAGGAAAAGAATGGAGGGGGGAAAGCATTCTGGGAAGAACTGAGGGGACTTTCAAATATAGTCAGAAGCATGAAAATATAGGGACAGTGGCTCATGTCCCAGAGTAGCTTGCCTGTGGGTCACGTGTGTGGGAGAATCATGGAAGGTGGGGCCGGAATGACACACTCAGAGTTTAGAGTTCCTTGTGAAGGCAGAAAGTAGTGAGGAGTTGAAGCTGCAGAGGTGAATGTCGTGATGAAATCTGTGTTAGAAAGAACTTGGGGATGGCATAAAAAAATGACCTGGAAAGGAGAGTCTAGAGACGGGAAGTCTGGTAACAGTCATTTGCAGTGGTCCAAAGGAGAGACGGTGAGGGTTAGAAATAGGGCAGAGGAAATGCAAGAAAGACTCCCAGTGATAGACTTGCTAGAAATGGGAGGGGAAAGGGAGAGAAGGCTCCAAGAAGCTGTCATGACTCATTTCGGTGGCGGGGCCAGTTCTCAGGGCCAGTTCTCAGGTAAAGTTGGAGAAGAGACCATGATGGGTGAGATTTGAGCTGCTCAGGGCATTCGTGTGAAGTCAGGACTGGCAATAGGAGTCAGAGCTGGTGATGAAGGTGGGAGTCGTCTTTGTGTGGGAGAAGGTTGCAGCTGCAGGAGGGACCCACGAAGAGCATGTGGACCCACGAGAGGGGAGGAGCCAGGAGGGTGCCTGGTGCATGGGAGGTGGAGGGAGGTGGAAGAACCAGGAGGCTGTCATGGGGTGGAGAGCAGGGGAGCTCTGGTCTGGAGGGGCAGTCAGCAGTAGCTGGGACTGCAGACAGATGAATTCCCGAGGTGCATCTACCTGGCTTTGTTCATTCCAGGGTCACCGCGGGCCAGCAGGAGAGCGCGGGCAGCGGAGGTGCTGGGTCTGAGGCCATGCTGTGGCAGGAGAGGTTCTAGAGACAGTGTCAACTGACCGTTGTGGAGCCCCCTCACTGATTCAGTGACTCCTGTTGAGTCTGGAGAATTCCACTGTTTTTTTCTCCAAGGCAGGGCCCTGTGAAATGCATTCCTGGAAATGACGGAGTCTGAAGAAACTATGACCTGGTCAGAGCAGGATGCAGGGATGCGCAGATCCAGAGCATCATTTGTGTCTGTTTCTTCAGCATTGTTGCCTTCCCTGAAACTCATTCTTGTAGCTTTTATTTTCACAAAGTTCTTTTTGTTTTCACTGTCTTTGATACCTGTCTTTTTTAACATTAAATGTTCTTTTGTTTTCCTGTGTTTCTTTCCATTTTCTCATCTTTGTCTTTCACGGGGAGGGCCAGAGGGCCTCAAATTCAAATTTGCCTGTGTCCCTTCTCTACAAGGAAGCCGTCCCCTTTCTGCTGGGGTGCTAACATAGTGTTAATAGGCTTTTCTGAGTCCCTTGTGGGTCATTTTTCTAAGCCTGGTCTACCTATTTCTAAAATTCCCTGTTGTAAATTCTCAGTGTGCTTCCAAGTTAAAAAACAGAACAAAAATCTTTTATGTTTATTCTCAGAAAAAGTAGATCTTACCTTTGCTTGGGTTCTGTCCCCAGAGATGCCTTTGAAAATCTAATGAACTGTGAAGCCTCTGCACAGATTGTCCACACCAGCCTCACACGAGGAGCTTTTCATACAGTGAGGCATTTGAAAGCCTCCTCAATTATGTCCACTTGTCCCCTAGTGTCTGAGGGGTGTCTTGTAAAGGACAACACCTGATTTAAAGAATTGTTTCTGACCAAACTTGCTTGAAAATTGGATTCTATTTCTGTTGAGAGCTACCAGTTTAGAATCCAAGTCTATTGAATAAAATCATAGTTAAATAAATGTGACTTTTTCCAAGGCATATAAATATCTTGCTCTAGTATAATTTTCCTATGTTCTCCCCTAAAAAACATGTGAAGTCATTCAGTTGTTTCAGAGGTGAAGGACAGGCCTCAGCTCTGCACATGAACAGGGGTCCGGCTCTGGGTGCTGATCCCCCCTGGAGAGCCTGCTCTGCCGAAGCCACGGCCTCATCACTTGTCAGGGGCTCTCCCCTGACCTGAGAATAAGGGGCAGGTGGTTCGAACGTACCTGGAATCTGGACAGGAGAATTGCTCAACATTACTGTCTTTAATCTTAATATCTTCTCTTCTGTTGTGGACTAAGAAGATGAGCTTAATTTATCTGTTCAGCTTGGAGCTGTCATTTCTAAAACTGTATATTCTTAGAGCCTTTAACAAGTTAGGGAGTGTACGTTCTTCAACTAATTGAGCCTGTAGGCGGTGAGTTTTAAAAATCTAGGTTATCTTTTCTTCTGGTAATTTACAGATACATATTTCAAAGAATTCTTGTTCTTAACCATCCACAAAGTAGTTCATTGAGAAAAACACACAGTAATGCAACTTGGCAGAAAATTCCAGAAAAAAAGTGGCTGTGAAAGCTATAATTCCACCTGGATTTGAATGAGGATAACTTCCCACCTTTATGGACAGCATTGCAGACTGGGGTGGGGAGATGAGGAAAAGAAGAGAAAAGATTTAGTTTGCTTAATTATTAACATTTTCAGTTAAGATGTTTGAGGTAAAAATCATGAAGAAATCCAGAAATTAAAATTCTCTTGGTTAGTGTTTCATGGTCTCATAGCAGAGAAAGGAAATTTAGTATCCATTTCTGCTTCAACCTGAATTTCTGACATTTGCTTTCAGATTGCTGTTTGGTAATTTTCATTCCTGAGATGAAAAGTCTGCTTTCTCTGTACAAAAGGGCAGTGGGTTTCCTAAATGATCACAAATGACACGCAAGAGAAGCAGAACTACGTGCATAGAGAACTGAATGCTGGGATAATGGCCCTGCTTCCTTCTCTTCTGCAGAACCTAATAGGCCCCTCCTGTAAAATCTGGTTCTACGATGATAGAAAAAATAGCCAGAAAACTGCAAAAGCCATAGCCCCCCCCCTCTTTTTCCCCGCTTGTTTGTTGTGTTTTTTTGCTGTTTTGCTGCAGGCCAATGATTCTGATCTTGTGCTTCTGGCCAGCCTCCCTCTGTCTCTTCTTGACTCTGGCTTGTGCTGGTGGATATCCTTTTCTGACCGCAGCAGCACGTGCAAGGTGATCCTCGCTTTGGGGTGATGGGGCCTGTGCGCTCTCCTTACCGCTTTAAAAGTATTTGGTCTTGATAACATTTAGCTGAATAAAGCTCATTTGCATTTTTATAAATTCTGACAGTAGCCCTAACTGATTGAATTGTGTTATTTTAGAAATTGGTCTTCTTTTGCAACTTACTGGTCATTTAGAAAGATTGAAAAGCAGCTTTGGAAGTCTTAGTACTAAAATGAAGTTTTTGATTAGTGAAGTATTTGAAATTTAAAATAGGAGGCATAAATCCAGAATGTGCCACTTCTGTTCTTTACTCAACGTTACGTGCATTCGGTGTGTGGTTCCTGAGCAGAGCCGGGCGGGCTGCACCGAGGAAGCAGCTCCCATTTATAGGGCTCCGGCCCGGAGCCCAGCTGCGCTGCCGAGGAGCCGGGGAGAAGCCTCTCGTGCCTGACAGCGTTTTACTCTCCCTGAGCCCTGTGCTCCTGGAAAACAGAAGTGGTTAAGACGGCCTCCACCTTTGGTGTACCGGGGAAAGGCTTACTGCAAACAACTCCGTTTCCTCTTAGGGCTTAGGTGGGACTCCCAGATGCCCCCTTGTTTACTGAGGACTAGGCCAGACACAGACCTATGTACCAGCTGGCCAGTAACAGCAAAATACCAGCCTGGACCCAAGCTGCGCCTTCTCCTTCCCCTCGGTCCCTGAACTTTCCTCCACCCCCAGCCCTCCTTCATGGCCCTTCCTGAGAATCTGCAGACCTCAGGGAAGGGCATGTGCTGGACAGCTGTCCAGTCGGGCCACCCACTTCCCACACCTGCTGCTTTCGAGGCTTGTTTATTCCTCCCCGCAAAAGCAGAGCCCTGTCCTGTCTGACCTCTGGGACTCTTGCAGAGCTCACAGTCAGAAAGTTCTCCCTATTGCAATATTTTGAATAAAGTCTCTCCTTATCTAAGTCCAGGTTTGTTTTTCTTGGACATATTTCAGTTTTTGAAATTCACAAAATGGAATTGATAGACGGCTTAATTTCTTAATTATGATCATTCTAGAGGATAAAACAAGAATAGACTAGAAACAACAAAATAAGAAACAGAGACAGAAAGGCACAAGCCAAATGGCGTGTCACGACGGGATCTGTGAACAGTGTCTGGTCTGAGGGGGACCTGGCGTTCAGCGCGTGTAGTGCCCTGTCCTGTGCTGAGGGAACCTGGCATTGAAGGAGCACGCCATAGGTCTTCTTGCTCGTGTTTTTCCCCTTGAAGTTTGTTTACTTCGTTCAGACAGTGGTAAACTGTGAAGCAGAATCAGTGATATATCAGTATTATGATTATACAATATTGGATAAGGTAACATTTTCTGTGTTTTTATTAGTTTTAAATCATGGGAACTATATTTAGCAGTACTCATTTTGGAAATGTGGCCGAAGATTCGTATTTTGTTTTTTATCTTAACTGTGTTTTACTATTTAAAATGTTTTTCCTTAACTTTGTTCACATTTTTATAAGTTTGGCACAAACTATGAAGGCTCTAAGGCTGAGAAAGAACACAGTGAAGTTTTCTTTATACAGGCACTTTACAAATACCCTGATCTTTGCCATACTGGGTAAGCTATTTAATTTTTCTTTTATAATAATTTATTTACTATTACGTGTTCCTTTAAAGGTTGACTTTTTTTGATGTGTTTCAGCTTCTGTAGTGTTTATGGTGTGGACAACTAAGACATTTAGAATGACAAAATGTCTGTCAGTAAGTATAATGTTCCTATTTAAACAGTTTTCATTCTTAATATACTACTTTGTTTTGAGTAAGTTTGAAGAATTTAATTTGTGTTTGTAAATGGAGATAATTTTAGTGGAGAGTTTCTGTTTACTTTGAATTATTGTGTACAGAATTATAAAAAACATTTGCCTCTTTTAAATGACTCCGAAAAAGTTCCTCCTAAATCTACGTGTTCGATTATGCCCTTTTCTCAACTTCTTTCTGTATGTTTTGAAAAGTAATTCTCTCCCTGTATGATCTAAGGTAACAGGAAACCTTTTTCTTCCAGTACACCATGTAATTGGGTTGTCTTATATCTAAGTGAGATTGTAAATCTGAAATCTGTCATGTTTCTAGGGTGGTAGACTCTTGAACATTCAGGAGATGCTCTCCATGGCTTCTCTGGTTAGAAGAAAGTATATTTCTCAGACTTAAAATATAAAAGGCCTTCTTGGGGGTTTCTTGATTTGGAAATAGTCTCTAGTTCTGTACAGTTATTAAAGAGTCCTCTGAAAACCCTCGACTTCCATTGCCTTACGGGTAATTTAGTGAGAGAAGAAACTGTGTCTAGAAAATCAATTAACTGATCTCTAAAGCCCTTTTAAACTCTCTTTATGATACTATATAATTTGTTAGGATTTCATTCATCTGATTGGTTATAAGGCTGAAGTAAGCATTGATGATTTGATAAAAATAGCATTTCTTACTTTTTATGTTTCTTGGAAAAATAGGTACTTATTTATTTGGAAGACTAACTGGTTGGAAAGATTTCATAGGTACTTGTCATTACATGTGGTTTGAGTGAGAAATCTGTATGTTTATCAGAAAATTAACTGTTCTTGTTTGAACTGTCCTTACTGTAGGATTGGATGGAGCGCTGGGTTGATGATGCTTTTTGGAGCTTCCTTTTTTCGCTTATCCTCATTGTAATAATGTTTCTGTGGAGACCGTCCGCAAATAATCAGAGGTACCTAACGTAGGAAGTTCAGGTTTGGCAAGGGTTTGTTCATCTCCTGCTACCGTGTTAAACACATTTATAGAAACTGGGTCCTTGCTGCTAAGGAGTGTACAGGCAGGTGGGGAGACAGGCATAAATGCAGGACAGTGAACTGAGAGATGCATAAATCGAGCCCCGCAGGAAGGTGGAAGAGGGGCGAGGAAGACTCCCTGAAAAGGCAGCGTTTACGTCATGCCCTCAAGAAAGCAGAGGGACAGTGGATGGCTGCCCTGGGAGAGAGTGCACGTTTTTCTGGGGTAGTGGGAGCAGACATGGCATACTTTGGAGGTCCTCGAGGCCTGCAGTTTGGAGGGACATAGAGCGGGAGGGAAGGGTGGCAACCAAATTGTAAAGCGTTTAAATGCTGAGTCCAGAAAGCTGTGCTTTAGACTGCCCGTGACAGGAAGCCCCACAGCTCCTCTTGCCTCATTCCTCTTCCCAAGGAAAGTGCTGTTAAGTTTCTTTCTTCTAGGAAAAAGTGACAAAGTATATACTAGTATGTGTGGCTCTCTCTCTCTCTCTTTAAAATTATGCAATGACAATAATAATAATACATGCACACACATGTGTATACACTGTTCTGCACCTTCTTGTTTAAAATGTATCTTTCCATGTCACCTTTGTATAGATCTGCCACATGACTTTTAATGGCTATGTGGCATTCCATAATAATGGCTGTGGCACAATTTATATAAGCCGTCCCTAATGACTAGACACTTGGCTTCTGGTTTTCCCGCTGTTATCAGCAATTGCTTTTTGAAAGCTGTTGGACTTAGTAAACGTGGCTCAGTCACATTTCACTTTCACCAATTTCAGTTACGTTCACCAATCGAATTAGCAGTTTCTCCTTGTTAGGGGACAAGTTAAAGTCGTGGGCAGGGAGGTAAAAGTGATGTGGAGAACAAAGTACAGCAGCAAAGTACATTCGGAACTGCAGAGTTCTTTGCAGAGAGATCTGATCCATTTCCAAACCCTTTTACCAACAGGGTTTGGGAACTCTACTTTCACAGTTTCTTCACAATAACCTTTGCTAACTTGAGAGGAAGATAATCAAATTTTTATCATTTCAATTTAGATGTCAATGGAAAATTGAACAAGTTTAAGCATGCTAGTAAAGCCACCCTTGTTTTTGATACAGATATGCCTTCATGCCCTTAATAGATGATTCTGATGATGAAATTGAAGAATTCATGGTAACATCTGAAAATTTAAGTAAGTGATATATTTTCTTGTTAAATGACCACTGTATATATTGTAGCAAAGAAGTATCGTCCCTTTACCTGGGACACAAAGTCAGATACATGTCTTTTCCTGAAAAATATTTTAAAAACCATTATCTGGTAGCTCATAGTGAAAAAGAATGTGACAATGAATAGATGTATGTTCATGAATAACTAAAAAATTGTGCTCTACGCTAGAAATTGACACAACATTGTAAACTGACTATGACTCAAAAAAAAGTTAATAAAATAAAATAAAAAATAATTAAAAACCATATCTGCAGACACATCTATTACGGTAGATAGTCACAAGAAGAAAAGTCAGTGATGAAATTTTCAAGTTCGTTAATGTAGTTTGAGCTTTTGTTAATTGTTCACTCTTAGTGTCTAAGTATTGAAGCAGGTCCACTGTTTTCCGCAAGAATGATTTGGTATATGTTGTGCTTAGCTCCTAAATAATGCTCATTTTCTTAATGATAGCTGCTGAATTTCTTCATATCACCCCTTGCTCTTTGAAACTGTGCACATCTGTAATTTCCTGGTCATGCCCAAAGTGTTTCTAATTATGGTCTTAGTGCCATTTTCATCTTTCTATTTATTTGTACATAGCATTTTATCACTTTGTTAATTTTACACTGACACTGTAATTAAGCATTTGTTAAGGCAACATATATATGTAACTCAGATGTTGAGAACTATTTTACTTTTGTTCCATTTTTCCTTCCTCTTACTTTATTTCTCTTACTAGTAACATTCTTTTTCATAAGTTTTTTTTTGTTTCTCTACTGTGAATATCTTATAATCCACCCAAAAATTGCAACATAATCAGTATGTCTTCGGTGTCCCCACTTCCTTTTACCTCCTCTCATCAGCTTATTACCTACAACTAATTTTTTCATTTTTTCTGACTTTCCTATTAAGAAAGGAAACCTGAAAAACATATTCACAGCAGAAATATTGAAATTCAGTGTGCTAAGGTTCTAGCTTTAATAATGATGGAATGAATTATATTGGACTAATCTTCCTCTGATAGCTAGAATAAACTCTGGACAGACTATTTTTTAAATTAATTGTTTGAAGGCACTGGAGAGCAGCAAAAGCAGGCAGAAACTGGAGGAGACTTCAGCGCTGAAAGAAGAGAACCACACTTAATAACTTCCACATTTATAGAGCTTTGTCCAGAGTGCATGCCCAGTCAATGAGACAGTGCCGTGGCTGGAGCTCAAGTTGATAGGTGTAATCTCACTGATGCAAGGAATTGGAGAGGGAAGTTTGGAGCTGTAAAGATGCCTGGAAATTGAGGGAAGAAATCCAGAAAAGAGAGAGCCACAGAGGGGGAATTTCCAAAGTCTGTAAAGTCTCTCTGGTCTTATCTGGTGCCTGAACTGGGCGTGTGCAAAATGCGACTCCAGGAGGCCAGTGAGAAGACAGTAGCTCTCAGGGTAAGAAGCAGAACAGATATTTCATTAGTTGCCCTCTGCAGAGTTTGAAATTCAGATCTCAGCAAGTTAAAAGTGCTTGGGTAAACACCTTGGACTTTCCATTAAAACCCCAGAAGGGCCACTCCTTAGACGTAAAGACCACAGTCTAGGGCCTGGAATTTACCCTAGGACTAAAGCTAACAAGTCAACCCTAATAAAATCTAAAAGCATATCCCCAAGAGATCAAAGTGATCCAGCAAGAATTTGAATGCCTACTAGAACAAAACACACTTCCTGGAGGAAGTAAGAGAATCTAGAGTCTGTGTAAGATCCCATTCTCAGTGTCCAGTATTCAATGATGAATTACTAGACATGGGATGAAACTGGAAACTGTGACCTCTAATTAAGGGAAAAATCAATCAGTAGAGATCTGAAGGTAGCCCAGTTGTGACAGTTAGCAAGAAAGACTTTAAAGTCTTTTGAATTAACTTTTAAATAATTATTATAATATGTTAAAACAATCTGTAGGAATAAATTGGTGAAGACAAATTGGGAAATTTAGGAGAGGTATGGAAACTTAAAAAAAGAAGAAGAAACAAATAGAAATACTAAAACTGAAACACAGAATATGTGAAATAAATTCAGTGTTTGGGATTAACAGTAGACAAGGAAATTGGATACAACCAGGTAATAGTCAGTGAACATTTGGAGACAAATCAAAAGAAGTTTTGCAAAATAGTGGAAACAAAGTGAACATAACTTCAATGACCTGTGGGACAGTATTAAACAGTCTAACACACACGTCATGAGCTCCAGAAGAAGAAAGAATGGGGGCATAAAGAATATTGGAGAAAATACTGTATATGACAAAATAATTAATTCAAGGTAGGTCACAGACCTAGATGTAAAAAATTAAATTAATTAAATTATAGCTCTTCTAGAAGAAAACAGGAAGCTATCTTCATGCCCTTGGGTTAGGCGATTTCTTAGGACACAACAAGCAGTTTCCATAGAATTAAAAGTTTGGTAAATTAGCCTTCACCAAAATTAAAAACTTGTGCTCACCAAGAAAAATAAGAAAATGGAAAGACCAGTCCTGGACTGGGCTAAAACATTCTCAGTACGTATGTCTGATAAAGGACTCATATCCAGAATATGAGAGTTCCTCTAAAGCAATAAAAGATAACGCAATTTGTAAAAAAAAACAAAACAAAAACAAAAAACAAAAAAACTTGGAACAGACACTTCGCTACAGAAAACAAAGGAATGGCCAGTAAAGCACACAAAAGGTCGTTAGGGAAACACAAATTAAAACCAGAGTGAAATGCCACCACATGTCCACAAGGGTGGTTAAAATTTAAAAGACCAACAGCATGAAACGTTGGAGAGGATGTGGAACAGCTGGGTCGCTCATACACTACCAAAGAAGTCTTAATTTGACAAGCAGTTTGACAGTTTCTTAAAACATTACACATACACCTACTGCACAACCCAGCCATTCCACTCCAAGGTATTTACCCCCAAATGAAAGCTCATGTCCACAGAAAGACACTAATGTACATCATTATTTACAGCAGCTTGATTCTTAATAGTCCAAAACTGGAAATACCCCAAGTGTCTGTCAACAGATGAATGGATAAAGTAGTTGTGCAAGTACACAATGAAATATTGCTAGGTAATCAAAAGTAACCAACACTGTACAACATGAGTAAATCTCAAAGCTTTATGTTGAGTGAAAGCAGCCAAATCCAAAAGAATATTGAATCCATGGATTGTGATTTTATATACAAAGTTCCAGAACAGGCAAGAATAAACTGTGGTAATTTTTGTAAATCAAAATTTACGAAATTTAAATGGTCGCTTCTGGTGGGATTGGGAGTGACCAGAAAGGAATTTAAAGAACTCTCTGTGATGATAGAAGTGTTAAATGTCTTGACTGGGGTGGTTGTTACCAATAAACAAGAGTTTGTAAAATCTCTTCATACTGTATACTTGAAATTTGTGTATTTTATTACATATGTTATACCTCAATTAAAAAAAAAAACAGTGTAATACTCCTTTAAGAGGAGAATCTGAAATGTTGGCATGTCAGATGCTCCATGGCAACATTTTCAGATTGAGGAACCTCATTTTCATTCATTATATCAACTTACGCTCTTGATCTCTTCATATTGTACCAGTTGTCCTCGTTGATGGAGAAGCAGTTTTATTATGGTAACAAAATGGCAAATTATTATGGTAACAAAAGTGAATACTTACGAGACATAGATTTTATGTATAAGATACCTTGTACGTGCTAATTTGTTTAATGTTCATCGGAATTGTATGAGGTAGACATTATTATTCCATTTTATAGATGGGGACACTGAGTCACAGAAAGTTGGTTGCTTTGCCCAAGGCTGACATAGATAGAGCCTGAATTCCGAGTGAGGCAGTCTGCTTTCAGGACTCATGCCCTCACCTCTCCTCTGCTGAAACTGCTGACATAAAGAAGAGCCTTGGTGAAATACGAAGAAAATATTTTTCTTCCCTATTTTATTTATACCATGAGCACATTCTAACAATTTATACATCAGAGAAGTCAAAGCATTAGCCAAAGATGTGTTTTATCCTTGAATAAGATACTGCAAATCCTATAGATTTTTAAATCTATAAACTTTAAAATGTATTTAAACTCTCTAAGGAAATATGTGTGCCTGTATGTATGTTTGCTTGTTTGTTTAGACTCCTCTAAAACTCGATTTCAAAACTGGCAACTTGAGAACCTTGTTGTTGTTGCAAGAGTTGTGACATTTAAAAATTTTTCCATCCCTCCTGGGCTTCCAGATGGTGTATTAAAACCAGCACCCAGCCCCAAACTTCCACTACTAACGCTCTTTATAAGGTTATTAAATGTGAGGCTACAAAGGAAAATATTATTTTATGATTTTATATGTTTCTATCATGTTTCTCATTATAGCTGAAGGAATAAAATTAAGAGCCTCAAAAACGGTTTCCAATGGAACAGCTAAACCTGCTACTTCTGATAATTTTGTGAGTATGGCATATATTTAATGGAGTCTCAGTATTTAATGTGCCACATTCATTGACCTTCAGGAGAACATTTGTCACCAAGGTTTTTTGTTTGAAAATAAATGTTACCAAGTAATGATACTAGTTAAGTCTGTGACAACTGTAACCACTGTAAACCCTCACTTTTCAAGTGCTGTCTTTGGACCAGCATTGTGGGCATCACCTGTTAGAACCACAGAATTTCAAGCCTACACCAGACCTACTGAATCTGAACCTGCTTTTTAACAAGGATTCCAAAGATGATTCACATGCACATTAAAGATTGAGAAGCTTTTTTATAGTAAAGTTTGTGTTAATTTTTCAGCATTTTAAAGTGCTTTAAAGTGATTTTTGAAGCCATTTTAGGTAACATTTGTTATCTATTGGAAAAGGACTTTAAACCACGTAAGCCTGAATAAAATAGTAAAATACAGGGTAGAGATGAGTTTTTAAATATTTAATGCATATTATTTATGCATTACAGTCATAATTATGAAAGTAAACAAAATGGAAAGTCTGTGATACAGCTTTATATTTGGCTTTCTTACAATTACATATATTGTGATTAGTAAGGTGTGAAAATTTGCTACCCATCTAAGTTCTGAAGGACAGATGGTATATGAAGCAGTTTCATTTCCTGGATTTGGTAAATTCTCTAATTTTTATTCTTGGTAATTAATAATTCTTAAAATGTGTTCTTTGAGTAGTCTTATGGTAATTTAACTAAACTTCAAAAAATATAGTTTTAATTATCTGGTGTTAGAACTATTAAACTTCCAGTTTGCTAAGAGATTTTCCTCTTATTTTAGGGTTATATCTCAGTTTATTTTAAAGCTCAATTTTTGCACACATATTCAGGGAAAATGTTATTTCTCTAAATTAAGTGTAGTCAGCTTTTGATCAGAAGTTGGGGCCTCGACTCTCATCGACTCATTTCCACCTGAGGCTCACTCAGAATTGGCGTTCCTCTTAGTACTGACCCAGTTGCTTTGTCTCTCTAGGTAAGCAAGATGTAGTTAATGCTGGAACTAGAACATTCCATGTAGCCAGGTAGACCACAAAGAAACATTTGATTTATTTTACGTTATAAACCAAAGCATTCAGTATACCTTTTATTTTCCTTACTTCTAGTGAGATAAACTATAAGCAAGTTTTTGTTGAGAAAAAAAATTCGGATACCCACAACTGACCTGCTTTCCTTTTTTCTCCTGCAGAGAGAGGAGCAAGTGATAGAAATAAATAGGCTTTTGTAAAGTTAGAGTATTTATACTGTCTTCTTTTTCCGTTGAACAATTACAAACTCAAGATTGATATAAATAAAACCTTGAACAAATTCAGAGGCATAATGAATGCTGGAAGCAAAACATCAGCACAAATGAATGAATATTCATGCTGTCGTCTATCTTATGAATCAACGCTTTGTATTTTTACTGTTTTTTTTTTCAAAACAGAAAATAACACCTGTGCATCTAACTAAAACCAGGAAGAAGAACAAAAATCCGAAATCCAAATGTTTGTTTGCCTGTTTAAGAAAATACTGGTGTCATTTCTGTGTGGCACAAGTGCCAACTTCTTAGGCTATGAAGAAATTAAAAGAATGTCATGCATTTGAATTGAAATGCTTAAATTTTAGATGCATTTTATTATTAAAATTTGCTTTTGGGTGATATTAAGCAAATGCTAATATGGAAATATTTATTTCTACAGGATGAAGATTTGAAGTGGGTGGAGGAAAACATCCCCTCTTCATTCACAGATGTGTAAATATCCTCTGTTAAAGTTTAAATCTAAAATTTAGGCTATAGTGTAAAGGGGTAATTTTCACACTCTGTCATCTGCTTTTTCAAACCTCACACCCCCATATGATTTTATAGGCCCCCATCACTGTTGAATAACTGACTGACTTCATATCACAGTGCAGACAAAACAGAGCCCTGCCCTGGTCTTTCTCCCTCCTTTCGCACTGCCCAACAGCTCCACCCGTGCCCTGTAACCAGCTCCAACCGTTTCTTATCTAAGTTTTTCAGGATCAGAATCATTTTATTTTGTTTTAACTGTATAATATGAAAAATTCAAACTTTTTTTTTAACACATGTAACCACAGTACAGTGTATGAGGGGGAAGCCTTTGGAGGAAAAATGTGAGCGTAGGAAACTAGAGGAAGGCCCTCTGGGAACTTTGAACTATTCAGGTCCTTCTTTATCAGTGTTCTGTGTGTCACATGAACTTCGGGTAGCTGTGGGCACAGCACACAACAGGTTAGCCGTGGGCACAGCACACAACAGGTTAGCCGAGCGTGATGACGTTATCACAAACTGTTCTTTCCTTTCCCTGCTCCCAGTTACCGCCTATTTACACAGTTTCTGTCTACTATAATGTTACGTTTGCCCTAAGAATTCCTCTATGTTTCTATTAGTACAGTATGTTGGTGATGAATCTCTCAGGTTTTATTTGTCCAAAAAAGTCTTTGTTTCAGCTTTTTTGAAAGGGATGTTTTGCTGCATGTAGAATTCTCAGTTGACAGTTTTTTCTTTCAACACTTCAAAGATTGTCACTTGAACGTCTTCCAGCTTTCATAGCTTTGGAAAGAAGTCAGCTTCGTCTTTATTACTTTGTATGTTATGAGGATTTTGTGAATGTTTTGAGGAAGTGCCAAGCTGTTTTCCAGGAGCTGAACCATTTCATAATCCTGTCAGTGATGTGTGAGATTGGTTTCTCCACATCCTTGCCAACACTTGTAATTGTTCACCTTTTGGATTTTAGCTCTCTCTGTGGCTGCAGAGTGGTATCTCATTGTGCTTAACTGAAATATGTACCGTCTTGTTGAGGGACTGGCATTGTTTAGCATCAGATTCATAAAAAGTAAGGACTGTCTTTACATTATGAAACCAACAGTACACCGTTATATTCCTTTCTTTTAGCAGTCAGGAAAGGAAAATAGGTGTGTATATATCCTTTACATGCATTCGGTATTTCTCCCTCCCTTCCTGTATATCTGAGTTATCACTTCCTCCTATACATCTTTCTTTAGTGTTTCTTACAGTATAGGTCTGCTAGAAACTAATTCTCTGAATTTTATTTATGTGAAAATGTATTTGTTTGCCCTCCTTTTTGAGGGATGGTTTTGCTGAATATAGAAACCCTGGTTGACTTCTGTTTGAGCACTTCCAACCCATCCCTCCAGTCTCTTCTGGTTTTTTTCTCTGTTGTTTTGAAGAGAAGTCAGTCTTCAGTTGTATTGTTCTGATGTGTATACTGTGGGGTTGTTTTTGGTTTTTTTGGTTTGTTTGTTTGTTTTTTTTGCAACTTTTCAGATTTTTTTCTTTCTGTTTGCTTTCTGCAGTGTTTGTA